GTTTCAAGAAAAGGGCACAGCAGGGCTCCTCCAGCCCTGGGGCACCAGGGGCTGTTCCCAGCAGCTCCTCCTGGGGAAGGGGATGGAGTTTTGCTGTGCCACATTGCCTGGGGGAGTGGCAGTGGGAGGACAGGCTGCTGGAGCTGGAGTCAGCCAGGAGCTTTCAGGGATTGGTGCAAGGCCCTAGGGTGCTTTGGTGTTTTGGCCAGGGCAGAGGTGGATTTGTGAACAAAAGCTGTGCCAACCCCTGGCTATTCATGGTCCCCTCCCTTGGGCAAAGGCAGCTGCATGGGTCAGCTTTGACTGGACATGGAATGCTCAGCTCCCAGGGCAGCCAGACACGATGGACAGATGGATCAAGGGTTGCAGAGCTGGCCATGTGCAGCAGTCCGGGGAATGTAGCTGGCCACGGAATGGAGGCAATGAGGTGCCCAACAGCCTGGGGTCCACTGTCGGGGCTCGTGCCCTGTCAGCACAGTCCCTGGCTGCTCTGGGACACAGTTTGAGCCAGCCCCTCCATTTCAAACCAGGACAAGAAGTCATGGCTGCAGCAGAGCCCTGGGCCAGGGCCACCTTGCTGCTGGTAGAGGGATTTGGAACACCTGCCTTTGTGGGGTAATTTGGAGCTGAAATAACACCTGGGGCTGTCCTGCTCTGCAGGTTTGTTCTGCAGGACGGGCTAGCACAGAGCCTTCAGGATAGGAAACTTTTGGTTTTAAAGCACTGTTAGTGTTAGGGTCTCCCTGTCTCCATTCTAAGGCGGCCAGGTTGCTCATGAGGAAGCGGTAGGAGGGGGTTGTATTTTTGGGAGCTGTTTGTGGGATTTTTTTCCACCATAGCCTTGGTACATAATATTAGAGGGGAAGCAAACATATATCTGTGTTGGGGCTCCAGCATCGCACAGTTTGTGGCTCAGGGTGGCTGGCTGGAGGGAAACACTGTGATTTCCCTGGCTTCCCCATTAAACCTGCATCACCCCAACACATCCATGGCTGGTCTGCAGTGTGCCACCACCACACAGCCCAGCCATGGCTGCTGGCAATCAAATGGATCTCAGAAGTGCTGGTGGCTGGAGTCAGGGGCTTGAGGGGTGTATTTTTTAACAGGGCTTGGGAGGGAGATAGCTGAGGCAGAGCAGTTTTCTGGCATTGCTGTGGCTTTGACAGTGAGTCCAAAAAAACAAGAAATCGGGTTGGGAAGGGGTTCTGGGGGAGGTGGGGGGCAGTGGGTGCACCAGATAGGGTCGTGCCCTGGGCACAGCCCTGCTGCTGGCAGCCCTGGGCTGCAGGGACAGAGGGCTGGGGCACAGCCCCTGCTCATGGCTCCCAGCAAGGAGCACAGGAGCTTGGTGAGGATGTTTACATGTTAGACCAGCCTTGCTAAAAGTAGAGACCTAAAAACGCACTTTATCATGTGCCCCCTTGTTCTCAGAGCACCCCCAGCCACTGGCCTTGCTGCTGGTGGGCAGGGGCTGCACATTCCCAGGTACTGCCTCACAGGCAGAGCCTTGTTTTCTCAACATGCTCCAAAAGACAAAATCCCACTGACCCTTTCTGGGGCTTGCTTGGTCTTTGCTCAGTCAGAGCCAGGGGGGTTTTGCCTTATATCGTCACTCTCAAAAAAATAGATGGATAAAACAATCTCTTTATTCAGGTTGATTTGTATTTGTTTACCTCGGTGTTAGCTATGACCTGTGCTTTTATGACTCATTTGGAATTGAGGGTTGCTGGTGGGTTTGGCTCACGCCCCCCCAGCCTCCTACAAGAAAACATAAGTGTGACTTGTTGGTGACAAGCAGAGGGCAGGGACGTGACTGATGGCAGCAGGGTTGGCCTCCAGTGTCGGTGTTGACCTATCAGTCATAAATGTTCTGAGGTTTTCCAGTACACAAGTACCTATATACCATAGCTATATATAGATATACGTATTTTTAATACACATTTATATGTATGCAGATGTATATCTATATATAAATATATATAGGCCACACAATTCCAGACCTCTGAAAACACAGGCAGCTTTAAATAACAAAGTCTTGCACTTTTAGCATATTTGTACATATAAGCTAAAGCCTGGTGGGTATAATCAGGCTGATTTGACAAACACAATGAGAAGTTACTGTATATATTGTATATAGTCCATGCAAGAAAAAAAAAAAAAGAAAATAAGAAAAACTCTAGAATTGAGTATAAATCTTGGTTTATTTTATATGATGTTGAATATAAATACATTTATAAATGTTACTATTCTTAAAAGTATTTTGTAATGGGAAAAAGTAAGTGTCTTATGAACAGTAAAGATTTTATTCTTGTTTTGAATCTATGTCCCTGCACAGCTCCATTGAATGGGAGCTCATGCATTTTGACAAGCTTTAAACAGATTGTACATAGTATTTAAAAAAAATTAAGAAGAAATAAAATGATACTTGTAGGACCTCTTACACACTCTGTTCTCTTGTTATTCCCTGGGTGGTGTGGGTCTGTTAGGGATCAGGATCTGATCTCTACTCTGCAGGAGAGACAAGAGAACAGCCATTGTGTCCATGTGCATGGACGGCTGAAGGGATGGGGCTCAGGACAAGGACTGGGATTTCCATGGCCAGTGCCAAAGGCAACAGGAGCAACACATAAATTGGAAAGAACCAGGCATCAGGGTCTGCACATGGTGAATTTGGATGGACAAAGCATGTGCCAGTACTCAGCAGTTCAGCACTGAAGTCAGCTGAGGGTTCAAAATCCAGGTCTCCATTTTTCCTCCTCTTCTGGGAGGCTGCTGTCCCAGCTGGGGCTTTGGCTTGCTCCTTGTTTTTGCAAAGCACTGACTAAATGTGGCTTTAACACGACCAACACTCTTGAAGGAACCTCTGCAGCAGGCCATCACAGGAAATAATAGTGCCTCAAACACAGGGTTTTTTTCTTAAGGGAAAAAACATTTTATTTAACTCCCCATTTGTCTTACAATACCTCTGCATACAACACATTGTATAAAAGCCAATCTGTCAACACAAACATGTGCTGCCGTCTTGGTAAAGTGACAAAGCTATAGCAAAAAAGACAAAATAGCCTATTTTTCTGGAAACAAATCAGTGTTTCCTTCTGTTTTAGTCCAGATAACAACAGCAATGAAAATCAAGAACCTTGTATGGTACAATTTGATGAGAAACTTCTGATAAAATCAACACACAGCTATTTCTTAGTCACTATGGTAGCAACCTCTTCTAAAATTACATTATTATTTAGCCATTAGAATTATGAACAAGTGGCTTGGTTTAGAAATGGATGGAAACAGAAAGTGATTTTTCTGTATCATATGGCAGCAGTCACTTCCATGTCTTGGAAAATGCTACTGGTTTAATTACCATCAGTTGTCTCCCATGGTGGAAAGAGCTGGTATTTTTATTATTTGAGCTATTCCCTCCCCTCACATGCCCAGGCCCTGAGCTGGGCACACAGAGGCCAAGCAGCCAGTTCCTTGTGGGGGTCAGGGCTGTTGCTGTCACCCAGAGCACAGGGAGCAGCAGCAGGTTCCAGCACAGCACATTCCATATGGCAAGACCAGGAACATCACAGCTCTGCTGGCTGTCCCCAGGCTACTGATTACCTCTGACAAAAGGCAGCTTAGCACACAGCAACAATCACAAGGAGGGACTGTGCAGTTCCCCACGGGCACTGCCAGTGTTGCAGGGTAACCGTGACACAGCTGCCAAGTCACACGGCAGCAGCCACAAACAGCATCAGTAGTTGTAGCAATCTACAGCTGTCTACTTTGTACTGAACAGTGCACCTTCATTTATTTCCTATGACTGAACCTGAAAATAAAGGCAGAAAACTTCATGGAAACACACAGAAAAAAACTAACACCAGGTGAGTTAAATGACACAATAGAATTCACTTAACCAAGCTGCTTCCTCTTCATGTGCACACCCAGCACCCTCAGGTGATGTGCTGGGAGTCTGGAGCCATCTCTGTATCACCAACTTCACCTGGCCAAGAAGCAGCACAGCACAGAGATCTCTGTCCCTGACTGTGCAGGGCTTTGAGGTCAAGGCATCACTCTCCAGTAACGAAGGAAGGGAACGAGCTGCTGTTGCTCTAGCTCTGCCAGTCCCAGCTAAACCTGCATCTATTTGTTAGCCAACCTGTCTGGAATAGGGATGGAAGGATCTGGAATAGGAAAGGGAAGGAAAGAAGATATACACTAATTCCAGAGTTCCTCTGTCACAAGCAGAGCTCAATTTATGGTACACTGAGGTACTAGCTCAGCAAACATACCTCTGGGTTATACTCCTTGGCATTTAATACATCTACCTCTCCCCAAACAAAGGCTCTGCAGTCTCTTGGGTGGGCACTAACAGAAAAGGGTATTGTACAGACTGAGCACCTTTTTATAACCAGGTAACAACAGAAGGTTGTTGTACTTTGCAAGTTCCTTCACCTTCTGCACTTAGATCTTCACATCTGGGATCTCAATCAAAAAAGTCCTTGAGTTTTAAGACTTTTTTACTTTGTTACTTTGATTAGCAAATACTTCACAGCTTTGATTACTTGTTGACATGAACAGTATCTCTCATAAACCTACAAAAGCTTTTGGTATGGGCAGCTTTATCTGTTCTCATGAGGCTTCATTAATTTCATCGTGGCTATTAGCAGAATTACTCACTGATCAAGCCTTATCTGGGTACATCCTGGACTAGAAAAACATTATAATCTGCTTTGTATTTCTAAACAACTTTGTGAAAATATTTTTAAAAGGTAATACAGTGTGGCCCTATCCATATCCACATAAATGGATAAATTAGTTTTTATATTTTATACATAAAAATACAAATCAGCAGTATGTGGTATCAACTGCAATTACTTTGTGAAGGCTTCTGAAAAAAGCTTCCTCATTCTCCACATTTATCATATAGCTTTTGGACTTCCTTAGTAAAATTTTATTTTACATTAATACCTGAGAGTATTAAGGAGAGTGTAAGACATAATTCATAAATTTAACACCAACTGCAATGATGGCATTTCACAAAGTGCCTGTAAGACATCAGAAATTTGTTTTATTCTTCATTCACACCAGTATTGCACAAAAAGCCTCCGAAAGATACCAAACCCATTCACCCATTCTGCTTCTTTAAAAAAAACATGCACAGTATAAAAATAATGCTGCTCTGCAGAGAAAGATTGTCATACAGGCTTTGGAAACAGATGTTTTAAACTAGTTTAGCAAGACTCCTCACTTACTTTGCTGTTGTTGTTAAAATACAAGCTCTTACTCTCCTCTAAATTCCTTCTAGCACTAGCTACCAAAAATTCAAGGTCAACATTTCTCAGCTTTTACACGGGCAGAGCTTTCCTCCACAGGATCTCTAGTATATCATATTTTATATATTAAAAATTTCAAGTCAGATTCAAGGGGATTTTCTTGTTGCCTTGAATCCTGACAGACGGAAAATATTACAGCAGCTATAGAAAAGCAATAGTAATTACTGGGCTGAGATATGGACTCAGGGTAGGCAAAGAAGCAACTGCAATCTGTCCCTAAGCAGTTCAATAGTCAACACTCAGCTGCAGATGGACTGTGCTTGGGTTTTCCAAACACCAGCAAAACTCCACATTTCATCAACATGCTCCTAAGAAGCCAACAATGTCTCCTTTTGCCAGATAAACTACAACCACCCTGTGGTCAGCCAGATTTAGCCACTGCTTTCCTTTGATTTTAAACAATCAGTATTCGTTTCTGCAGCCTTGTGCAGCCTGGATGACTAAATAATCTTCCAACCTTTTCACCTTTTCTTTGTAGGAGGATTGGTAGAAAAATGGGAGGCTGGAATCTACCCAGTCCAGACCCATGGGTAACATCAAAGCAGAGGAATTGTGAGCAGGGCAACTTCCTTCTCTAATCTCATGGTCCTGTGCTACCACAGCCTCTGTTCTTAGTCTTCACCCTGCTTTGGCCCTAGTCCACAAGCAATTTGGAAATAACTAATTGATGTGGAAGACAACCACCAAGCTGTTGACACTCCTTTAAAGTGAAAATGGGAAAAAGTCATTCCTTTTATCACAGTAATAGAAAAGAACCTGGAGAACACCTACTCTAACAGTGATTCAGACAGGTTTGCAACAGGTACACAACCAGTATCTCCAAGCAATGCTGCATGTTTTAATAACATGGTAAAGGCAGTTCATTATTCAGTCCCTAATTTGGATTGAAATTTATGAACAATGCAAGAAAGTGACTGTGCTTAAAACTAGTTTTATTTACATTACATACCAGTAATCTGATACTTGAAGCTAATTCTTCAAACTTCATTTCCTATGTCAACACCAGACTTGATTTCCATAGTTACAGCCTTCATTTGTAAGCACTTTATGTGATTAATTCAGAGTCGAATGCAAAGAAAATTACATTCTGGTTCTTGCTTTAAGTTGTAAATTTTTAGCACTCTCTATTTTAGCTTTTATGTCATGAGGTTTTTCAAAAAATCTCACAAAAGCTGGTTCATTTAATAAGGATGCCAGAATTTGCTCAAAGGCAAAAGACCATTCATGGTTCCCTTGTAAACTCTGTGCTCGACTGCCTTCAGTCTGTTCAGAGCTGCTTTCCTCCTGCCTCTCTCTGGGCACTTCAGCAGCCACTTCTGTAACAGCAACTGGACTTGTGACAGGTGACATAGGACTCTGCAGCCTTCTGCCAACTTCTTCCATCTTCAGCAGGAGGCTGGTCACCACCGCAATGGCGCGATACAAGAGCTCCTCCTCAGGGTCCCCATGGAACAGATTGTAGAGAGTTTTTGAGAACTGGATGAACTGAGACTATGGAGAGATATGGAGGAGACTGCTCAGAGAAGAGCAACACAACTGTTCTGTTTCAGCACCTGCTGTATTCTGAGTTCAGTGCCTGCTGCAGCCTGGTGCAGCTGCCCTGAGAAACCTATGTGTGTCTCAAAGGCCCCTCTCTTGAAACATTACAGCAGTTTTAAAAAGCCACAGTCTCATGATTGATGTGAAGATTTGAAGTTAAAGGGATTCTACAAATCCTTCAGAAATATTGTAATAGACTTAAAGGGTAAACTTTCATGACAAAATAGACTTAAATAAGACTCAGACAGTTTACCTGATTCATTCTTGGCAAATCCTTGACATTTTCTTCTTTTTTAAAAAGTTCATCTTGCCATTGCTTCAGATATGCCTGAATATCAACCTTCCCCTTCCCTTTTTGAAGGGGAAGAAGTGGGGAAAAAAAAAAAAAGTGAGCAAACAAGAACTGAGACCTTCCCATGAGGGATGATAATCAAAAGAACTGGCATCTTCAATGCTATTCCTTCTCAAGAGTGGTGGGGCCAAGGACTCACACAGGACAAGAGTTTACTTTACCCTTTTGCTGCCATGACTACACTTACATAAGAGGACAGAATGTTAACAGCACACTAAGGTTGATGTTACTTAATATACTCTGTCACCACACACTTTCCCAGCTCTACTCCCCCAAAAGACACAGTTACCAAATGTGCCACCAGGATTCTTTTACCTTTTTCAGGGCTGCTCTTCAAAGAATCACTTTCAAGATTATCCCCAACAGATGAAACTACAATTTAAGGGGAAAAAAAAATTACTTATTTCAGAAAAGAGGACCAATGTTTCATTTCCCGTATCAAAAATTCCTTCCTTAAGGCACAAGACTCTCTATGTTCTCATCATAGATTAGATCAAGAAGAAACCACATGGTAAAATCTGCATGCTTTCTATAAAAATATAAGCCATTGTGAGGCAGATGACCAATGAAACTGCTATCAGTTAAATAATCTTTATAATATTCACAGTTCACAACTTGAAGAGCAGCAGGAACAGTACCAATATATTGCCTACTTCAGGCAGATTTTCAAAACCAAAAAGGGATCTATCTTTCCTATATAAATCCTACAGGTTTCAAGAGTATTTGAAACAGATTATTTTATCAACTCCATAAATTTACTAAACCTTTTTCAGCTCACTTGGTCTAAAATGAAAGCAAAGAATTTTGAAACACTTATGCACCTCAAAGTATGGATTTGGTAATTTAATTCAGAAAATACCATTCCTTTATGCCCAGGATGCAGAAATGAAACAGCCATCAATTCAACATCACTGTAACAGGCTGCCCATAATGCCAACCAAACACACTCCTGTATTTCCATGTAAACACCCACAGGCCTTTGAATTCAACCATCTTTTGAGCTATCCACAAATTCTGCACAAGTTTATTAAATTGTAACTATCTACAGAAGATCTTCTAGATTCTGTTAACAGGGATATGATTAACTGGATTTACTAGTTTTCAGAAGAAAGGTCCTCATTTTTCACAGGATAATTAATAATTCCTTCTAGTATTCTGTAGGCAAACCCTCACACCCTGGAGCTTACCACTGAGTTGGCTGAAGTGGATCAGTTCTTCTTTTGAAAGATCATCCCCTTTGGAAGGGCTTAGAGATTCTACTTCCGTAAAAGCTGCAATAAATTATTAAATAAAGTGGGTTCATGGTGCCCAAGCATTACCAAAGCAGTGATAATGATGACAAAAACCAAAGACAGCTCTCCCCAAATGCCACTGTTTCTCACTTACCTGGAGGGATGTGCAACTTAAAAAGAAACTTGAGCTTGTCAGTGAAGCTTCCATTATACATTGTATCTGTTAGGGGAAAGGACAAAGGACAGTCTATTCAACTGGGCCAAACTTTAGAACACCCTCTTAACTTAAACAAATACAACCCAGAGAGGTTGGAACTAGACACATGCCTGACCTTACAGGGAGTATAGTTAGATATGAAGCTTAAATAAAGTACTTTCACCTGTGGCTGAGCCTGGGGTTAGCCTACACTGATGAAAGAACACTACTAATGTCTGTGACTTACTAAAATAAAACCACAGCACCAAAAGAAATATAGCAGTATTGTCTCAGTATTTCCCTTACATTTTTGTTTCCTGAATATACCACTTTCAAAACAAGGTGAAAGGAACAGAGCAGTGAGCCAAGAAAACTTTTAGTTTCTCAGAGGAATAAGGCATTGGTCATCCTGCACAATCTGTGTAAAAGATGACCTAGGATGAAGATTTATCATAAACTAAACAGGCTGGGCAATGAGATCAGACCATTAATTTGTGGATATTTTGATGACCAAGCCATATTTAAATTTAATCTCCAAGAGGAAATTATTCTGTCTCTAATAAAAATCACACTATTTGACCCTGTGTTAAGACAGGGTAAATCTCCTTAGCTTTTTGTATAGAGTATGGAAGGTGATGCACCCCAGGACTACTCCCAGGAGCCTCGTGAATGTGCTCATGTATGTTTTGTTGCCATACCAAGAACACAGGCAAATTGTTTGAAATTTATAAGGCAGTTGGAACTCTCATCCATCAGTCGGAATGTCCACAGAGCCAGAGAGTCTCTGTTTGCACAGTGTGACCAGGGGCTCAGGAGATGGCAGAGAACCCTGAACTGCTGGCAATCAATCCGGTACTGCTCAAGGTAGGGCAGGCTGGCATCGTGATGTTGCAGGACAGGACTATTTACACTCCAGTAACAGGAAAGAAAATGCTCCTTCTGCAAAGCAAAGATAAAACATTAGGTTTCAGGAAACAAGAAGTCTCTCTGGGGGGAAGGATGTGAGGAATTAACTATATAATCAGTAGTACAGATGGCATGTAAAACATATATTGAGTCCAACCTTTATCTCTATTTACTAAAACCATTTCAAAGGCTACTGTTAAGACAGCTGTTTGGTAAGTGAGGAAAATGGCACATTACCTTGAATAATTCATAAAGCTCTTCAAGATCACTAGGACTGAATTTTACTTCTTGAGACACAACGCGTAGCTGAAACAAAGTCAAGAAAAAATTAATGTGTCTTACCTCTTTGGAATAACATTATGGGAGACTTAACATTACATTAAGAGATACTGTTTGAATATTCCAGGTTTTGGCATGTTACAATTAGAAGTAAGAACAGCACTTTATTTTAAAAAGCAATCAGAAGATTATAGATTAAAATCATAATTTCTCAAAAAAAAAAAAGCTGAAGGCTAGTCACATTAATAACATACATGGAGCCTACACTATGAAACCCAGGAGATAAAACTCAATTATTGATAACAACATAACATACAGCATCCTTTCAATGGGCAAATATATGTTCAGCTCACAACAGTGAAGCTGAATCCTCATTTTTTTAAATTAAAAAAATTGTTCACAGCTTTTAAAAAACAAAGTTTGCTGTAAGACCAGCTTCCAACTTCACAATATAACAATATATAAGTTTTGTAAAATTAAATACAACAATACCGTCTTGGCATAGCCACCAGCATTTAGTTTCTGTTGCTACAAGCCACATTTACTACAGAGAGGAGCACTAGGTGGTGGACAAGACTAGTATTATCATCAGGTATTGGAAATGAGCCACTGAAGAAAACAGGCAAACAAAGGAAGCTCCTCACAACCTCCATCTTCATTGAGCAGTCTGAATTGAAAGGATGAGATAGGTAGATGGAGAGCTGCCACATTACCAGACACTCACACACAACACAGACAAGAAGCAGCCCCTGTTGAATGCACTACAATAACCTCTTCAGTGCTGCTTCCCAGAGTAAAAATGCAGGTGTGTAATAGTTTTTTTGCTGTATGGTGCTCTATGTCTCTAAGAGAACAGTATTAACATCAGCAGATAGAAATATAGGTCAGCCTGTTCCAATCCACACAAAGTGTGGGAGATGTGCCAGCCTTTTGAAGTGGCTGGCAATGGTGCTACTTGTAACGAGACCAGAAGGTCATGCTGTGATTTACAGCCTCAGTTAACAGACACCCTGCAGACATGAGAGGGTTCAGTATAAAATCATATATTTGGCCTGGAAACTGCAGCTCTTCTCAGAACCTTCCAAAAGGGAATGAATTTTATCAGGGAGAAGGCTGAAACTCTTCCAAGTCACTCACCACATTCTGCTTGGTCGTAGTTTCCAAGGTCTGGATCACATACAGCCTGTTCCTGCAGCGCAAGCTCTCAACATCCTCGTAGCGAATATCACCGTATCTCTAAGGAGAAAAGCACCACTCCATGCCATCAAACTGTTGGGAGACACATCTAAACACATCTAAGCAAGTCTCTCTTGCATCTAAGCACAATAGGGACACAAATGCACACAAAGGAAGATCACAGAAACTCTGAGGAAAAAATAATTTATTAGAGCACTAACATTCTCCTTAACCAGTGTAACTTTTAAAAGGGTGTTTAAAAGTGTTCCAGAGAGCAATGGAGAAAGAAGAAACTGGAGTAGTTCCCTGTGTGGGAAGAAAAAGGAAGGGATTTTATTGTGTGTTGGCTCTGTACCCAACTCTGTTATCACATGGTGACTACTACTGCAAGGCAGCAAAGTCTAAGATGTGCATGTTTTCAGGGATTGAAGTTCACTCTAGTGAAATCAAGGAATCTGCTAAGTAATTTCTGAATCATTTCTGGCTACCTCTGTAATTTCTGAAGGACATGAAAGGTGTCTGAGCTCTGGAATGAATAAATGCATTTATCTTAAAGGAAAAGTGGGATAGGAGGCAAGAACTAGAAACAAATTACCAGAAAAATCATGGAACAAATTATTAAACAATTAAAATCTAAACAGAAACTAGGTGATCAAAACAGGACAACATTCTTTATCAAGACCATGTCAAATTGACTAAATTTCTTTTTATGAGGAAATTCAGTAAATTGAATTTCTCTTCTGTAAGTTTTTTGGCACCTTTCAGCAGTACAGGCAATCAGGAAGACATGGCCTAACCATGATCACCATGCACCATGGGCAAAACTGCTTCTAATAATAAGCTTTGAGAACAAATGAGTGATAAACAACCAAATTAGGCAGGACTTCCACAAGCATTTCCTCCCTACTCAAGTACCCAGCTTCCCATATGCATTGTTATGTCAAAAGTTACCAGTATCTGCAATGTGCAGTAATCAGTCTCAAGTTAGTATAACACAAAGGCTGGTTCTGCTGTATTTTGTCATTTAGTTAACATACTAATAATATTAATGAGGGATGGCAATACATGACCTGTGATGAATCTTGTGAACTCCACTCAGGACAGACTAGAAAGCACCTCCCCAGCAGTTAAAAACCCAAAACAACAGAAAAGCAAACATATCCCATAACCTATAAGCTTTTCAGTGAGGCTCGACAAGATCCAAAGTACAGAAACAAATTTCTACCAATCCAGACAGATTTTCTACCCTGGTTTGTACAATGCAACTGCACTGTTTCAAAGTAGCCCATGAAACATGAACACTGCATGGGATGCAAAAACATGCCCACAGGAACACTTACTTCATTTGACTCTCGGATCAGGTCAGTGATGTCCACTTTTGGATGGTCACTCTTTGTATCACTGAGGTTGGAGCCCTGCTGCACAGCTGGAGGTAAAGGACTGTCTTTGTTAGTGACACTGTCAAAAAATCTGCACAAAGCAAACACATGAGAAATCAGCAGGACCAGTTTATCACAATAAAACAGTAACATTGGCATCTATTGAAGAAAAAGTGTGCAGAGAATAGGAAAAAACAAATACTATCAGAGTCAGTAGCACAAATGTACTATAATAGTAACAAAGATACACAAACATTGGAACTGCCCACCCAGAGAAGGTTGTAGAACTTCCAGCCTTGGGAGTTTTTAGAAATGAGTTTATGTGATCTAGTGCTAGCAGCAATCCCCTTTTGAGTGGGAAGTTAAACTAGACTCCTTCCAAGGTTCCTTCCAGTTAGCATTCCTTTGGTTTTCTAATTGATATAGCAAGGTTGTACTAACTGGGACAGAGAAAAAGGCTCGTTCTGAACTGTGAACAAGACAATCTTAATTCCTCCAGATGTATAAGACAAAGGCATGCCTGATCTGTACCTGCTTATCTCACCCACATAACCAGCCTCAATAGATTCAGTGGGGAAGCCAGATTTTACAATAAACACCAGACTGCATGGTCTCATAACAAAAAATACATTTTCTTCAATAATTCTCCTACCCCTTTCAAACATGCAACATGTAAAAGCCTCACTAAACAGAAATTCTTATTATCAGCTCTTAACATTCATAACTGGTTAACTGCTATAGCACAGTAATTTTGCTGTTCTAATACTCCATGATATACAACCACAGCATCAACAAGATAATTTAGTTAGTGAAGAAAAAACTGTACAAGTTTTGTTTGCAGTATGTCACTTTAAAGCACACTTCACATTGCTAACATAGCTAGTATCTCATCATGACTGATGAGCTCATCACGTTTTTTTGGTCTCATTTCTGTTTTAAACCATTAACAGCAGAGGATTCAGCAGCCTAAACTACAAGAACTAAGCTGAAGAACTTGCTGCTGTAAGTTGATGCCTGACCTGATGTCTGGAACAGTCATAATGTGCTTTAGATATTCTCATCACGGCAATCTGCCTTCTATACATGATACAAATTCAAGGTTAAAAGCACATTGCTTTTTCCTTAAAATTCACAAAATAGTTATGGTTTTAGTAGAACTTGAATACAGGATGGGATGTTCAGAGTATCCAGACCCACTTTCCAGAATTTCAGCCTGATATGAGCACTAATTCCTATGAAGCCTTTGGAAGTCTTGGCTTATGTCTTCTCAGCTACCTCAGAATGACTCATGTACATGCAATAATACCAGCTGCTATGTAGCCTGAAAGAGTAACAGTTACACTAATACCTGTTGAGAACAGTGACTGCTTCTGCATCATCCTTACAAGTGAGCAACTTGTCCATGTTGTATTCCAGCACTGCAAGGCCCAGCTGCAAGATTGCCTTTATTCCATCATAGAAGAAACAGTCCACCACATTGACTGCACTTTCAATTGGCAGCACACTGATAAAAAGGGTAAGGAACCAGGAGAGAGAGACCGAGGAGAAAAAAGTCATGTCCATCATGTGGTCTGTCAACTGAGGCAGGTGAACCCTGATGAGCTCCTCAAACACTGCCTGATCTACCAAGGCACCTGCGGGGAAAGGATAACAAAACCACCACCCAAATCTTAACACAGAGAAATACACTTCTGAGAGCACTAGCCAGAAACAAAGTTCCTGTCCTAGTGCAGCTTTGCTGTACAAGCACACACAGGCCCAGCTGCATGGAACCATTGGCTCCTTCCCCCATGCTGGAAGCAGTGCTCTCCATGCCTGGGGCATGCTTGAAGAGTGCTGGCACTTTGGTGAGTCCATGGCTGCTTCCAGTGACTCTCCTGACAGCCAGTACCCTCCCTCTGCAACAAGAGAGAAACTTCACACCCCATTTTCTTCTAAAATATACACCTGTAAGAATTGCATATGAGACCAAAGCCCAAGTCTGGACCTGCAGTAACTCCTTTTCCTTTATCTAAACTGGCTAAGTTTCAAATAAATAGTATCAACTGCAGTTATCATTCCAAAGGAACAGTATAATAGTCTGACTATTCCCTGAACAGTTATGCCTAGAATACTGGCAATATCTGGAAATCACATCCATGCCTATTTTAAGGAGCGTCATGGGATGGTCTCCATTTTCTATCCCACAATACCAAAATAAATGCAATGGTTTTTCTCCACTGGTCAATCTTCAGCTCGTTCCTTATATTTATTCTTAATGAATAACCATTGACATTCAATATAGGTAGACATTGAATTCAAGATAGATAAAAAAAGCAGATGGATGTTACCAATGATTCGGCGATTGAAATAATCAGGGAGCATTCTTTCACACACAGCAACCAAAAGCCAGAATGCTTCCTCCTCTTTAGCATACAGCAGAAGCACTGATGTCAGAATATTCATTGCCTGCAACATTCAAACAGGAAAGGAAACATTTAAGAGAAAAGATGATGAAAACACAACTGGTATTATTTCTTAGAATTTGTATTTCTGAAAGCACTTTACAGCACATTTTTAAAGCACTGGGAAAACTACAGCCATATCCAGGACAAGAGTTTTACTTCTACGTTATTAAATACAGAACAGAGCATCTAAAGTACATAAAAATATTTTCAAGTGCCATATGTCTTGTTAGAATGCAAATTCATGTATGAAGTGGACATGACAGCATTTATAAACTAATCCAAGTAAAACATAAAAACTCATTTTACACATTGGCATGAAATAAGCAAAGTAAGTGAACCACTAAGCAAGAAACTATTCCACATTTCTGTGACAGAATTTATGAAGTGCTACTATACTACCATCATGAGCTAATATTTCAACAACTGACACTAAGACTCTCAAAACTGGTATACCTGACAATATCCAATTTGTGGATTCCTGAATGCATAAGCTGTAAGAACTCTCCTGAGGGCAGAAATTCCTGTGTCACTTTGAAAAGCAGGATGCTCAGGTAAGGAGCGACGTAAATCTCGCTCAATTTCATCAGTAGCCAAAGTGCACGTTCCTAAGGACTTTTCCACCAACTCAGTGTAATAACCAGGGTTGGATGCCATATCATTTACAGCACCTGCCAATACATTGTATTGCACGGTATTAGAGGACAACAGTGAAGCAGTAATTTGATTGTTTGTAAATTGTATAAAAATTGTGGTGACTACTGAGGTATCTTATGAATTTCCAGATATTACTGAAGTAACGTGTCAGGGTCATTTTACTGAAGTTCATGGAAACACTCGGCAATGAAAATTGCCAGTGACGACTGTCAAAATGAACCAATTGTGCTTGTTATGCAATACCTGAGAAGAGCAGCCAGAGTTCTCCTCTTAATGCCTCTGGGATGCCCCTTACAACTAGGTCTCGAGTCTTCTTTGTTCGAAACATACTGACCCCATGGCCCCGTTCTGCAAACAGGATGTTCCACAACTGCTCCTTCATTTTTTCTTTCAACTACCAAAAGCAGAAGATAACAAGCATTAAGCTTACTGGTAGATTCTCCTCAGGTTTCAGAGAGCAAAAATAAATTTTGCTCTGAGTTGTATTCATATAAACTGGAAACTGCAGCGTTGGCATCCATATTGATGTGTGAAATGAATGCTGAAGCAAATCAGAGCAAAATCCAGCCTATGCAGAGCACAAATTTAGCATTAAATGCCATCTCATACATGACCTACTGTTCTTTAAAGTATGTTTATACAAGATGAGACAGAAGGTAGATCTAATCCAGTATCCCATATGACAGAAACCAAAAACTGCCACAGCACAGGAAGGTCAAACAGACATTTCTCTGAAGCAAAGCAATTGTTGATGGAGTGCTCCAGCTCATGTGAGGCTCCAGGGCTGAGACAGGGTGAATGTCACTGCTACAATTTCTGTGCATACAGCACTAAGATTTAACATTGCTAAAGCAATTAAAAGTACTGAAAAGAAAATCACTTCTGTTCAACATACTATAAAAAGCAGGATTTAAAAATCTGGATTCCCTTTTGTCCTGCCCAAAGGGTATTTGTTTTCTGGTATTTCTAATATAAAACATTTCATATCTTAATTTACTCAGTTCTGCTGAACGATTTATTTTGAAATAAAACCTGTCTTCTTTCACATACTATAGAAAAGCAAAAATTGGATGATCTGCTGCAAAAACAACTATATAAATATTCTTCAGAGCCTTTGTTAGACAGTGCTGCAGAAGAAGGAAACAAGGAGGAAGTTAAATCAATTTCTTAGAACATTCTCCCTGCTCCCAGAGACTTTGTAGTGACTTTGTATCTTGAAAATTCAGACAGAAATACAACATGTTCACTATCATAAAACAAACAGCCAACTCTTCCCTGAGGGGTAGAAAAGCAGGAAAAACTAACTCCATGAAGATAAGACATACCATCATTAAACAAGATGAGCAGAAAATTGAATGGAGCTATGAAGAAGCACCCTGTGGACTCCAAACACAGAGAATGCAGATGAAAGAAGATCAGCAAAGCCCCAAGGAAATCAGCAGCCTGGCTGGAATTCATTTTGATATACTTTACTCCTTTCCAATTCAGTTCCAAAAACCATTGGCCATTTTATCCCTTACCATTTTAGAGTCAAGGTTCTCAGCATCCTGAGGATGGTAGACAGTCATAAGTGCTTCTGTACTGACAGTTTTGCTGTCATCTCTCTGGCCCATCTTTGACTGTCCTGCACCAAAATCCTTTGGACTGTCAGCAGCAGAACCAGCTGCAACCTTGAAAAAATTTAACAGTAGTACTTGTAAATAACAAACAATCCTCCAAGCAGCAGCACTGATACCAGACCATTATTGCTCATTTTATTAAGTTACAGGTGCCAGATACAGTCTTCTAAAATAAATTATAAACACCAGTCCCTGCTCTGCACAGGGCTTTCAGGAGGTTACACTTGGGGTTGAAAAGCCACTTCTCAAGCTAAAAAAATAAATTATGAAAGGACAAGTATTCATAATGAGAATTGAGAACAGGAGGATAAGGAGGTCTGACTATCCATCACCACCAAAAAAAACCCATTCATACAGTGAACTGTATAGAAAACCTGAGAGCACTTAAAAACCAGCATTACAGCTGGAGTTGTTTTTCAAAACCTGATGAAAAACAAGGTAAAGAAACCCAAACAGGAATGCATTCACAGTAGCACTATTGTCCAACTCATTCTCTTTCACATGGGCTGAGTTATTCATTTTTCTAAATCTTAAAACCAGAGGTTCATGACTTATCTTATATAAGAAATTAGAATTGCCAGAGCAGTTACCTCAGTACTTCTGATGTGCTGTGGACTTGCAGTTGCATTGCATTTCATTCTGAGCTTTGCCACAAGCTGTCCAAAATCTCTCACCTCTGTGAAACGAAAAGCTGTTTTCCCTTTGGTACTAATGCTGACTCCTCTGTTGGCTGGATCTGCTGTATCCACCCCTGTGACCTATGGAACCAAGGACATAAATTAAGCAAGGAATTTTACCTGCTTACTTATAAAAAAGAAAACCTGTTAAGAATACATATGTAAATGAACCAGGGTACGAAGCACACAAGCAGACAAGGTAACACAAGTCACAAGGTGAAAGCTCAACTGCCTGTAGCTATTTTAGCAAAAGGCACTAAGTATTATGCAACAGATTTTTAACAGAGTACCAGAAATCTTAAAAAGGCTTTTCTCAGCTATGAGTGCTCAGCTTATTTGAAAACCGTGTCTCCTATCCACTGAAGCAGTTGTTTTTGTTCTTACCATCCAAAAGCAGAGAAAACATGACTTTTGTAAGTAATCAAATGAAACAAGTTTTGCAAGACTGAATTTCCACTGAGAATACCCTGTCAAAACAGCTGTCATAACACATGACAGATAGAGCTGACTTTAATTGCCATGATGGAACAGTTACAGACTAGAGCAGTTAAAACAGTTTAATCATGCAAGTTCAAATGTGACAATCATGAGAATCTAGATTGGCTGGTATTGCTGATGTATTCATGTTGTTAAAGAATGGAAAACCACTGAGCACATTGTTATAGGTAAAGAAGGAAAGACCACTGAAATGAGGTAACTGCAGTCCTGCAGAACAATTAGTGAGGGTCTGACAGTCCACAACAATAAATTTAGAGCCAGCTCCTTTAACACAGCCTCTTATGTTATGGAAGTCTCTATTGTTTGCAGCACTATTTAGAGGCAATCAAATGAATTGGTTTATGTAGGTGGGGAACACCAAGTGTACTGCTGAGATTAGAACAGCTCACCCCCTATGTCAGGTGTCTTACGTTAGTGTGTACACAGAGCATGTAAAGCAATTACAGAACCTGGCTTATTTGTAGGCTATTGTAAAATGTGTCTGGTGCTGATGAAAAGCTTTTACCACTGGACAACTGAAATGTGGCAATGTCACAGCTCACCATGAAGTCAAGACAGAAATGAAGAGGGTTGGTTGTTTTTTTTTTCCCAGAAGTTATTCTGCAGTATACTACAGTACTCTATTGAAATTCCAAAGCTGTGCCCTTTGCTATATGGTCTTTATTCTGTCCTTATAGTCTGTTGAGATTATCAGCTGTAATGGCATTGCTACTTGCTCAACAACTGGATTTTCCTAGACTTTTGAGCAGAGAGCACTGCTCAACTGCTGCAAAAAACTGCACTACTGAGGAAAGAAATACAGAAGCATGATTACTGATCTTCAAAGTCCTCTACCCACTACAATTCTTTACTTCTTACCTTGAGAATGTCTCATTAACTCAACTACAAAGTAGTAAGAAAAAGTACTAAGAAAAAGCTTTTTCCTTTAATAAAAAAAAGTATTAAAAGTTTGGATTCTGTGCCAAGCTACAGAAATAAGAGTAAATAGAAAATGGAAAGAAGACAGAAGAAACAAGTCTGAAACATGAAATCAGTTCCAGAAATCTACAAACAGAATTCCTACATGTAGTATCCAGGGTAGGGGGAAATATCTGACATCACATAAAATAAGGATATTCTAATGAAAATCTGCTAAACTGGCATTAAATTACACAAGGGCAAAACTGCTGGTATAAGTGAGTCTGATTTGTAGTTTGCATTACCTCTCTCAATGGAATGATTACACTGCACAGGCTGCCATCCTGGCTAGCAAAGCAAATGTAGTTTTCTGAAATGCACATTTTCCCATGGGTGTTATAATGACTGAAAGGAACCCATAAGAAGCACTCATGAACTTCCTTCAAGGACTCTTCTTTAGGTAGCCTGAAGAATGCACTAAAATGCTTACTGTGGGCATGGCTCTCCAGGCCTCTGGAATAAAAACATAACACACTGGTAAGAAAGAGAAAAATTAAATGTTAAATGTCTTTGCAAATACAAAAGTCAAAAATACCTTGGGAAAAGACAGTAAAATATCATACTCTCCTCTCCCATAATCTATGGTGTCAATTTGGAGGGTTCAATGTTTTTCTTGAAGAGGCAACAAAGGGCAGGGCCACACTTACCTGTACATCCACTTAACAAAATATTTAATACATCACTAAACAAGACCAGATTCAATAATGTTCTTACACAGTAGAGCACAACAGGGCCTACAGGTAGTGCAGAAAAGATACTAATAGCATTATGTGCTCTGTCTCCCCACACACCAGAATAATCCATTTAAAACTAGAACAAGTTTTGCCTTGACAGAAGGTTAATTAGCTAAAAATATAGCACATGTTGTAAACATCTGCCAGGGGCTAATTTTTCACAGATAACTACAGCCAGATACAGTATTTTAGTTGTAGAGCAGCATCCCTTTCCAGCATTGCTACCAAACTGAGGAATGAAAGGAAAAGGAAGGACCTTAACCATTAAGTTACTGGTGTTCATGTCTTTCCCACCACCCAAAATAATGCTGTACCTCAGGAAAGCCATGTCTATTAAATGGTTTCTTCCCTACCTTACCATTCCTCATCAGCTATCTCTGAAGACACTGTAGCTCTAATCTGAATTTTCTAATCCTAAATGCTGCAAGAACACCTTTTCAAAATTCACACTAATATAAACCTTTTAGTTGGAAAATCAGCACTGAAGATTTGATCACCTCTTGCCTTCACACAGACTTTGGATCCTTACAAGTAACAACAAATTACAATGTCTCACATGGCTTTGGTCCAACATTTTAATGATACACTTGGTTAAGAAAATACCAGCTTTGCTAATATTTACAGTCTCCTTGAGACAAGGATTCTCTTCCTCTTTTGCCTAAACAAATACTGGACCCAGAACAGATAAACTATAAGCAATGCATTACCTCTTGGTGATCTGCAGAGGGTCGTGAAGTACTGGATCATTCTCAAATGTCTCCTTGTCAAAAAGCCTTCTAACTGCATAGTTTGCCAGCTGCTCCATGAGAAGGAATGTTTCACTAATGTGCAAAAACATGGAAAAATAATGATCTTCCCCATGGGAGCACACATGAATGCTCTCTGTCAGAATCACATTGGAAGTTTTCTCAAGTTTTGATATTTCATCCCAGGAGATAATAAGTTTTACTGAAAATAAAAGGGTAAGGACATGTGAGTCAGTTCTCAATATCTGCCTGTATTAAAGTATTAAAAAAGAAATGCAGCAGCTCTAATAAAGTGTATTTAAACAACATAGTGAACTGATAACACACTTGGAAAGGACTACACACTAATAAGCACAAAATGTATTCTCTTCATATTTCCTAAAAATTAATTCCATTGGAAAGAATTTCATAGAAAAACATTAAAACACAGACCATGTATGACAACACAAGCTGATGTCACCTCTTCCGTGCTCTTATGTGAAACTGCAAACACCAAACACTATCATACAAACCAACCCCCTTCAACAGGTCACCAATAGGGCTTTTTAAATTAAATCCATCATGTATTGGCATGTAGAGGAACTGTGACCTGTAGCCAAGGCATTTCTTAATACAGATCAAAATCAGCTTTGAAAGGATCCTATTTTCTGTATGTTTTCCATTTTTCATGTAAATACATTTTTCATGTTAGTACATTTTTCATCTAAATATAGCACACACTATTACAGACATTTGTTTGGGCATTTCAAACTAATGTTACACAGGGAAAAAAAGAGTTATGTGCAGTTATCACCAGTGTGTAGTGCACCCATGTGAAATATTAAGCCTGTGTGTGAAGAAATAACTGTAATCCTCATAGAGTTAATATTGCAACATGAACTAAGATGATGGACAACTTTTAGCTACAGTCAGCTTCTGGAAGTCTGCCTTCTCTCTGAAGCTTGAATTAAGGAAGCATAATAATGGATATTGAGTAGCATGTTACACAAATGTATGCATTTCTGCTCATGTCTGTGGACATCTGCTCACATGGCATAATAGCTCTCTTAGCACACAGGAAGAATTCCTCCTAATCTGAAAGATGAGCAATGAAGAATGAAGGGACACAGCTCAGCATCAAGGCTTACTTACTTTCTGCTCCAAGCAAAAACGAGTAGAAGCTAAGGAAGTTGGTACTAAGATACAGCCATCCCTGACAGGGCACTCTGCCCTTCCAGTAACTGCACGAGTAGTAGGTAATCAACTTCTCCTGCTCTGGTAATCCAAAACACTTCTCAAACTTCATAAGACCTTCACGAAACTTCTCAGGATCATCTTCTCTTACAAAAGAATCTTTTCCCTCTTCAGCAATCAAACCCTACAATAAAAAATCACATTACTTTATGTATGTGCCCATGTGGGTGGCTGTCATAGATGCACCTGCATGCACAGAACACAGCTCCTGTTCTCCCAACAGCAGAGTAAGTTTTAGAAGGGGAACTAGAGTCTGAGGATCAAATCATAGGTCACAAATAAAATGTGCTGTTTCAGACTCATCCACCAAGTCTCTGACACAGCTTAGGCAAGACACACATTCCTGTGTCTCCTCTTCTGAAACAAACATATTTTATTAACTTAATCCCAAGAGTTCCTGAGAGCAAATATAGGGGGAAAAAAAAATAGAACATATACTTCCCAGGCACTGTTAAACTTAATGTGAAATAATTTATCAACAGTCTTAGACCACTATCTAAAGGCATTTGATGTATCATTTATTAGGTGAAGTTTACGTCAAACAATCTTAGTCGTGGGGCAGAGACACAGGAACAATGGCACATGTTAAAGTGAACAGTCATACTCCTCAATCAGAATAGGCAGCATTACAATGCTGTCCTGGAATATTCTACAGAGAATGTATTATTTGTGTACAGTTGAAGGAAAAGGAATACTTAGCCTTTCCCAATTATGCCTGTTACTTACTCTTATCTTTCCCTGGACAAAGCTCGTAATGTCTTCATTTGAATCAAACACTGATAAAGTCTTCATAACATTGTGTTCTAACCACTCCCAATGTTCTGTTATTTCTTCTCTGCTGGATCCTATTGAAAAAGAAAGTATTACTTTAAATTAGGACAGACTTCAATCATTTCACCAAAACTATTCATCAAGAGAATACTTAGTAAATTCCCGAGTCACAGAGCAATTTAGATACACAAGTCAAAATCACAAGTCTTAAATTTCTTGTTACCTCTTGTGAACACTGAAAACTTATTCAGTGTACATGAAACATATGCACTGCTGTGTTTTTATCTTTCAAGTCCTTTATGCAGCTCTATTTCTGGCCATTAATTCCAAAAGCATCTCAGCTTTGTCACCGTTATGTGGCTCAGTGCTGAAGCCTGAGTCGGACTGACAGTTCCGTCCTGTCAGCAGCACCTCCCCAACACAGGCAGCACAGCACCACTGCAACACTCCCAGTTTAACAGCCCAGAATGTGGGAAATGTGAGACCAAACCCATGAGGCTCAGCAGGAAATTAAATCTCTGCCTTTGATATCCTCAGCTTTGATCACTGGCCCACAACAGTTTCCAGAGCAGAACTTCAAGACTAAGGCCTGCTGTGCAAAATCCCTTACACATGTGAGGATGTAAAGCAAACTTCACTGGAACCAGGGAGGCAGCAAGGACTGAGATGCCATGAGTGAAAACACAGGGTTTCAGCAAATTCAAAACAGAGTCAGTGCTTTAAAGACTGTGATTCCCCATCAGATGCTGGGGGACAGGGAGAGTGAAAGAACTTACATAGGTTTGAAGAAAGGCATTCTAGAATATAAATTAATTGGCAGCTTCATCATCCACAAGAATACTTACCTATCAGAGTAGGCAGTGCGAGCACACTGTTGATACCCTCAAGCAAGAACATACTTTAAACAATTGCTTTATTCTCAGCTTACTTTCTAAAGGGTAATTAACCAACGTGCATTGGACTCCACGGAATTAAAGTGGCCTTGTGAATGAGTAGAAATTGCTCTAAATATAGTTAAATAATCAGGCTGTATTTGCTGGGTGGATTTGTGGCAAGACTTAAATTATATGAAGAGTAATTAACATTTACATTGCAAAAGTAATTGTTTTTCTCAGACTACACATGTAGGACAATTATTTGAGTTGCAGTGTGAATCAGAGGCAAAGAGGTCACCCAGAAATAATGAAACTTTTTTTGTATTGTTTAAATGGTTTAGGAGCACTGTTTCAGACCCTTAATATGTATGTAACAACAGGAACAAAGTGTCATCCCTTCAATTTCTTCACAGAAGAAACAATCTAACACGATTAGGACAATTATATTATGTAGCTTTCTGTTGTAAAGCATATATATGCAGCACAGAATCTATATAAATTCAGTTCTAAAACAAAGATTACACTTTGTATTTTCCCAAGGCCTGACCTGATTGCAGTAGAATTCCCTGGAGTACACTTCCAACATACATATTAAAGTACTTTTTTGATAGCCTGTCACCAGGTCTGACTTCTTCAGAAGTGGCCCTGAAATGTTATTTATTGTCAATTCACAAACTGTTCAAATTCTTTAAGGCTGCCCTTTTAAAGTGACATGCAATTATATTAAATTAAAATTACAAGAACAAATCTGTATTTACTTTTCCATTCCATACTGATTAATAACACAACATGAGAAAGAAATAGAACTTATACTAAAAGAGCAACAGACACAAGGAAGAATTTAGTGACCATGACTGTGAACTTGCATGTTTTAACATTTAGAGACAAAAAAAAGTAAACAAAAATATTAGGATAAGCATCTACTGTTAGTCCTACCTACAGAACACTTTGGAATAAGATGATTTTGGGAGTCCATCCTGAACTGTGTCAAGTTATCCTTGCACCTTACAAAAGAAAAGATTGTGCCTCTGTCACTGTAACAGTGCCCAAAGGCTTTGGTACCTGAAGGGCTCCTGCAGAAAGGCAATCAGAAGGTGTGATAGGAAGAGTCCATAGATCTATTCTGAAAAGCTGGAACCACACTCTGCTGTCAAGCTCAGGCTTCCAAACGCTTCTTAACCATTTAGAAGTCATGAGAATGAGTAATGATGTGAGAGGATTAAGCCAAAAATGGATGCCATACTTTGCACCCTCCTTTCCACTGAGTGGGCTGGCTGGCAGAGCACAGAACGTACCACAGGCGATGGACCAGTAGACCTGGGAGTCGGGGGTCTGGTGCAGGATGCGGAACGGGGCGACTTTCGACGTGGAGTCCAACACTGCATCCAGCGTTCCCACAAGGAGACCTGTTGTGTCCAAGAAAATGTACACAGCACAGTGAAAGTCCAGTTTTGAAATGCACACTCCCCTCTGATTCACTTCTTGGGGAACAGGAATGCTGCCCAAGTAAGGACTAATGAACTCTGAGAAAATAAGAAGCACAATTGAGAAGAGCACAAAGTATTCCCAGAGGAACTTCTTTGGGATGTGATATTTTGATCCAGTAAAAGCCACGAGGCACAAATGAGAGTGAAGAAGTTTCTTGAGATGGCCCCTGTGGAAGTGACAGCCATGCAGAATGTGAAACCAGAGCAAACCAGAAATGGAACAAGGCAGTCCCAGCCTTCAGTGAGCACAACCAGTAACTGCACTACCTCTTAATTAGTCATTTATTGTTGTTCTGTTTTCCAGGCACAGGAAAGAGCCCTTGCACACCATAATTGGCTGTCACCTCCCTGACACTAAGTACTGAATTAGCTCCCATTAAATAGAGTTCAGATGAAAATATACTCATTTCACTAAAAAGACAAACTTCATCTTTCCAGAACAAGGACAAAAACATTGTCTGGGAAAATGAGGGTGCATTTCATAATGACTCAAAATCATTCTCTCTCACTGTGCAGTAATAAAGAAATTAGCTCAGATACTTAACTGATACTTTAAAATCTAAAAATCAGGAAATTATAAAAGAAGAAAAATCAGTACTGAAGAAACAATTGAAACTTTTGGTTCCTGATGCACCATAAAATCTTTTCTTGTTACAACAGAAACGAAAATACTATCAACAGGATCTTATGCTTCTTTCCTGCATTTTTTATGTTTGCACCCTTATAACATTGCCACAGAAATAGAAAATTCAATTGAAGCAAAGTTACCAAAGCAATCACACTGGACTCTTAGTCTCCTACAGAAGAACAGAAAAATAAGAGATGAGATTACCCAAAAAAATCATAACACAATTACACAATTACTCAAAGAGCTGCTGTAAAGTCTATTTCAGAAACCTGTTGAGATCATGGAGGCAAAGCATTCCCAATAAATGTCAGTAGAGAGCTGGAATACAAAACTAACACAGCCCTTATAGAACCTTTATATCTTTAAATATGTTTAACATTCCCTGTTTAACAGAAAATTATTTTTTTTATTTCGGTTTTTAATATTCTGTAGAAGCACTAGATTTAGACAACTCCAAATGCATCCCTCAAAAGTTATTTTGGAATTTTTAGGTCGGCTGCTTTGGTACTTTGGGTTTCAGTTTCTTTCCATTAACTATCTCCCAAATTCTGAAAAATAGAAATTGTGAAAGAATAAAAGGAAACAAAATAAAGCAGAACTTATAAGTCTAGACACTCATCCTCAGAGCATGTTTCTCCTGAGGATACACTTTCAGCATAGAGCCTGTGGGACTACCTCACTGTGGCTATTCAAGTTTCAAATGTTTTTGCTTCTCCTCAAAAACATGGAAGTAAATAATTACAACAAAGCACCAAAAAAAAAAAAAAAAAAAAAAAAAAAAAAAAAAAAAA